CAGAATAAACCTAAGAAAACATGATCCCATCCGGATACTTGGCAAGTACCACCTCTACCAGGTCCATCGCATGGAAATCTAAATCCAAGGTTTGCTTTATCAGGAATTAAGCGAGAATTTCTTGAGAAAAGGAATCCCTTAACTAAAATAAGAACAGTTACATGAATAGTAAATGCATGTATATGATGAACCATAAAATCAGCAGTTCCCAAAGAGATAGGCATCATCGCTACTTTATTTCCCACAGAAACAACTTCTCCCCCAAATGCATAGCTAGCTGTAGCTAGAGCATTTGGAGCTGTATTACCAGGTGCTAAAGTGTGTATACCTTGAACCCACTGAGCAAAGATTGGCTGTAATTGGATTGCTGTATCTGAGAACATATCTTGAGATCTTCCTAGTGCTCTCATAGTATCATTATGAATATAAAGACCAAAAGAGTGGAACCCAAGGAATATGCACACCCAATTTAAATGAGAAACAATTGCATCCCGATGTCTAATAACTCGATCTAATAAATTGTTGTAGTTTTCAGCTGGATTATAATCTCTAACCATAAAAATGGATGCGTGTGCTCCAGCGCCAACTACACAGAATCCCCCAATCCACATATGATGAGTAAATAGTGATAACTGAGTAGGATAATCGGTTGCAATATAAGGGTAAGGAGGCATCGCATACATGTGATGTGCTACAATTATGCTTAAGGACCCCATCATTGCTAAGTTAATAGCAAGTTGAGCATGCCAGGAAGTTGTTAAAATTTCATATAATCCTTCGTGACCGTTTCCAGTAAAAGGACCTTTATGAGCTTCTAAAATTTCTTTCATGCTATGTCCAATCCCCCAATTAGTCCTATACATATGACCAGCAGCAAGAAATAGCACTGCAAGTGCTAAATGATGATGAGCAGTATCACTTAACCATAAACCTCCAGTAACAGGGTTGAGGCCTCCTTTGAAAGTTAGAAAATCAGAGTATTCAGCCCAATTTAAAGTGAAGAAAGGTACCAGTCCTTTACTAAAACTCGGATATAGTTGTGCCATAAGTTCTCTGTTGATTAAAAACTCATGAGGCAATGGTATTTCTTGAGGAGAAACGCCTGAATCCAGTAGTTTGTTAATAGGTAATGATAGGTGGACTTGATGTCCTGCCCATCCTAGACAGCCTAAGCCTAAAAGGCCAGCTAAATGATGATTCATCATGGATTCAACATTTTGAAACCATTCTAGTTTTGGAGCAGCCTTGTGATAATGAAACCATCCGGCAAACAGCATTAAAGCAGCCATTACTAAACCACCTATAGCAGTACAGTAAAGTTGGAATTCAGTGGTAATTCCAGAAGCTCTCCATAATTGAAACCATCCTGATGTAACTTGTACACCTTGAAACCCTCCACCTACATCTCCGTTCAAAATTTCTTGACCCACTATAGGCCAAACAACTTGTGCACTTGGTTTGATGCCAGTTGGATTACTTAGCCAAGCAATATAGTTAGAGAAGCGGGCTCCGTGGAAGTACATTCCACTTAACCATAAAAAGATTACCGCAAGTTGGCCAAAGTGAGCACTAAATATTTTGCGTGAAACTTCTTCTAAAGAACTGGTTTGACTATCGAAGTCGTGAGCATCAGCATGAAGATTCCAAATCCAAGTAGTAGTTTTTGGTCCTTTTGCTAGTGTACGAGAAAAATGACCAGGTTTGGCCCATTTTTCAAAAGAAGTATCTACGGGATTTTTATCAACCGAGATTTTTACCTTCTTTGTCTCTTGCTCTTTTGAGCTAATTGCCATTGAGATTCTCCTCTCTTGAGACAAGGAATCAAAACGCTTATTTCTATGATTGACAGATAAATCTAATAATTTTACTGTTTAGATTTTTGTGCCTTTAGGAAATAAGTTTTTATAATTACATTATAAGCTAAATTCTCTATCTAAATAATTTCTGTTAATAATATGTAAAATGGAAGAATTTTCATTAAGTTTCAACTTTCATCAAAGCTTGACCACAATCTACTATATCACCATCTTTAACTAAGATTTCAATAATTGTTCCCTCAATTTCAGCTTCAATTTCATTCATTAATTTCATAGCCTCAATAATGCAGACCGTTTGGTTGCACTTTACTTCATCACCTACTCGCACAAAAATCCTTTCACCAGGAGCTGGTGATTGATAAAAAGTACCCACCATTGGTGAAACTATAGTTGCATAATTTATGACAGCTTTGTTATTTATACTTCTAGTTTTTTTAGGCGAGATGTTGATGGTATTAGACTGAATTGACTTAAAGATAGAAGAACTGTTTGATGGCAAAACTTCTTGAGGAACTTTTTTGGATGGCTTGTTTAATATAATCTCAAACTTATTTTGTTTTAGTTTTAGTGTCTGTATTTTTTTTCTTTGTACGGAAGAAAGTAAATCTTGTAAATCTTTAATAGTAATTTGCACAACTAAAAATACTCCTATGAAATAAATTGCTTTAACAATGGATAAAAATTTTGTCTTTATTTTTAATAATTTATTTATTCAGACAGATTAGCTCTTCACGGAACATCCACAGCCTTGTATGATTCTCGAATTCTACAATAATTGTGACGCATTGATTATTTATAAATTTTGTCCCTCTAATAACTCCTATATCACCAACTTTAACAGCCATATCATTAGCTATTTTGTTTTTACTATACTTAATTTGAACTTTTTGTCCAATAAGCATATTAACATGACTATGTATTTTGACCAATCTATTTATTATTTAATATTCAGTACAATCTTAATAATAAGATATCTTTTTGTGTAAAATAAATATAAAACATAATATTATTATCTAGTATTCTTTCTAGAATATTAGATCATTTAATTGATTAACTAATTATTATATATTGGATCATGCTTATTGCTGACGACTTAGAAAAATTATTAGAAATTTTACCTAACTTTGTTCGAGAACCTTTGAAGCAGCATTCTAATAGGAAAAATTTAATAGAAGTTGTTATGGATTTAGGTCGTCGCCCAGAAGCCAGATTTCCAGGAAACCCAGAATATTTATCTCAAAGGTCTATCAGTTGGCAGGATTTAGATTATTGTGTGAAGAAGGTCGGGAATTTTAGTGGTGATAACAGAGCAGGCATTGAAAAAACTTTACACCGCATTAGTTCAATGCGTAATAGGGAAGGTAGCATTATAGGCTTGACGTGCCGTGTTGGCCGAGCGGTGTTTGGCACCATTAGTATTATCAGAGATTTATTAGAACAAGGTGATTCAATTTTATTATTAGGAAAACCCGGTGTAGGTAAAACAACAGCAGTTAGAGAAATAGCAAGAGTTTTGGCAGATGAAATGGAAAAAAGAGTTGTGATTATAGATACGTCTAATGAAATAGCAGGTGACGGTGATATTCCGCATCCAGCTATAGGTCGAGCTCGAAGAATGCAAGTAGCTCGACCCGATTTACAGCATCAAGTAATGATAGAAGCGGTAGAAAATCATATGCCTGAAGTTATTATTATTGATGAGATTGGTACAGAGTTAGAGGCGTTAGCAGCTCGAACTATCGCAGAAAGAGGAGTTCAACTAGTAGGTACTGCCCATGGAAATCATTTAGAAAGCCTTATTAAAAATCCTACATTAGCAGATCTTATTGGCGGCATTCAGTATGTTACCTTAGGTGATGATGAAGCTAAAAGAAGAGGCACTCAGAAAAGTATATTAGAAAGAAAAGCTGCACCTGCATTTCAAATTGCAATTGAAATACATGATAGAAAAGTTTGGATAGTCCATGATAAAGTTGAACAAACCATAGATCAAATTTTACAAGGTCATCAGCCTTTTGTCCAAAAGCGACAAATTCAAGATAATGGCCGCATTTTGATTAAGTGTTACCCCTCGCATTCCATAGAAGTGCTATCTACAAATTTTTTAAGACCTCAAAAAATGAGTAGCTTGAAGCAGAAAACTCATGTTTGGCATCAAAAAGAAGTAAAAGATAAAACTTCTGATTTGAATAAATTAGAAAATCGTGATACATCTTTATTATCAACTAGTATTAATACTCCTATAAATATTAATAATCAGTCTTTTCCAGTAGAAGCATCGATTCAATATTTATATGCTTATTCTTTAAGTTGGCAGCATATTGCATCTGTCATCTCTTCTTTAGATCTGCCAATTATTCTAACAAAAGAGCTTGAAAAGTCAGATGCTATTTTAGCCTTACGTAGTCAAGTCAAACAAAATGCAAAACTAAGACAAATTGCAAAATCAAGGCAACTTATTATTTATACGATTCAAAATAGTACGGTACCACAAATTACACGTGCACTAAGAAAGATATTAAATATCAATATTTCTTCTGATCTTAATTGGGTAGAACTTTGTAAAAGTAAAAAGTTTTATGAGATTCAAGCTCTTCAAGAAGCTAAACTAGCAATAGAAACTATTATCTTAAATGAAAATTCAATAGTTCAATTAATGCCACGATCAGCTTACATCCGAAAAATGCAGCATAATTTAGTTGACAATTATCAGTTGAGAGCTCGTAGCTTTGGAGAAGAGCCCTATCGTAAACTTCGCATTTATCCAGAATAATAGTATATCATATAAATATTTGAATTTTGAGCCCAGTCTACTAACTTATATAAGGTTAGCAGCAAGGGGGAGTAAAATTTTTTACACAAACTTTAGGAAACAATATATTATGCAAGATAATGAAATTTTTGAAAAAGTTCAAGACATTGTAGCAGAACAACTTGGAATTGAAAAGACAATTGTTACTAGAGAAGCTAATTTTTCAAGTGACCTTGGAGCTGACTCTTTAGATACAGTAGAATTAGTAATGGCAATTGAAGAAAAGTTTGCAATTGAGATACCTGATGAAGATGCAGAAAAAATTTCGAATCTTTCAGAGGTTGTAGATTTCATTAAATCAAAGCTAAACACTATTAGTGTATAATTTTTTAATGAATAATTAAGCCGTCTCTTATATAACAGATATGTAACGGAAAGGGTGGGATTCGAACCCACGGAACCGTAATCGGTTCAACTGATTTCAAATCAGACGCCTTCAACCACTCGGCCACCCTTCCATGCTGATAATATATATTATCAAAAACCTAGACTATATAAAAGTTATTGTATGTCTAGGTTTCATATTAGTTAGTCGTATGTTGCTTTATTAGTAAACTTAACATTTACAGGATTAACGTTTTTTCCAATAGAATGGTCAACACTATTGATGCTATCTCTACCTGCGTTAACTTTTTCAGGAAATACCCCATCTTTAGGATGTAAATATTGTACTTCCCCATTTGGAAAAACTCTGTAAATCTTATAATCAGAAATTTTGAATTTTCCTTTTAATTGAGTACCTAAGGCCAAACACTGCTCTTTTTTGGCTAAATATAGCAAATTTTCTCCGTCTCTCATTGTTGCAGTGCCGCCGGTTGGCATTTCGAATTTACTTTCATTTTTGCCCGTCCAAGTTATTGCATACTTTTCTTCCACTTCTGCGGCCCTTAACCAACCGCCAGTGCTTCCGCCAAATGTTGGGGAAGGCATATTTAAGTTAATTGTATCTGGCATTACCAATATTAAGTAAAAAAAGTTTATATATAGTACATTTATATATAGTACAATTTTTACATGTTTACTGAAAGAAAAACTATAACTGCAAGAAATCTTTACTTTTAAGATTGGTATGTTAGTTTTGATTTCTAGCTTAAATATTAATGATGAAGATCTGTATCTGAAAATATTAAAAATCATTACAGAGTAAGAATATATGAGTGGTTTTTATTTGTTAGCTAAATCTAAAAGTATTACTATATTTACATAAATCAGACGGAAATTTAATATGAAATTAGCTTATTGGATGTATGCAGGCCCAGCTCATATTGGAACTTTAAGAGTTGCTAGTTCGTTTAAAAACGTGCATGCAATTATGCATGCACCTCTTGGAGATGATTACTTTAATGTAATGCGTTCAATGCTTGAAAGAGATAGAGATTTTACTCCTGTTACGGCTAGTGTAGTAGATAGGCATGTATTAGCTAGGGGTTCTCAAGAAAAAGTAGTAGAAAATATAACAAGAAAAGATAGAGAAGAAAAACCCGATTTAGTTATATTAACTCCAACTTGTACTTCGAGTATTCTACAAGAAGATCTGCAAAATTTTGTTAGTCGAGCTTCAATAGAAACAGAAGCAGACGTTCTATTAGCAGATGTTAATCATTATAGAGTTAATGAGCTTCAAGCTAGTGATAGAACTCTTGAGCAAATTGTTACTTTTTATATGGAAAAAGCGAAATGCAATAATATCTTAACTAAAAAAACTATAAAGCCGTCAGTTAATATTATTGGTGCCGTTAGTTTAGGATTTCATAATCAGCATGATATCTCAGAACTAAAAAGATTATTCCAAGATTTAGATATACAGATAAATCAGGTAATACCTGAAAATGCCTCTGTCCATGATCTAAAAAAACTACCATCTGCTTGGTTTAACTTTGTCCCTTATCGAGAAACAGGTCTAATGACAGCTTTGTATCTTAAGAAAGAATTTAATATGCCATATATTGATATTACTCCAATGGGTATTGTTCAAACTGCTACCTCTATTAGATCTATTGAGAAGCTTGTTAATGCTCTGGGAGCAAACGTTAATTATGAGAAATATATAGATGAACAAACTAGATTTATTTCGCAATCAGCGTGGTTTTCTAGATCTATTGATTGCCAAAATTTGACAGGCAAAAAAGCAATTGTTTTTGGAGATTCAACTCATGCAGCTGCAATGACTAGAATCTTGCATCAAGAAATGGGCATACACGTTGCTTGGTGCGGGACTTATTGCAAATATGATGAAGAATGGTTTAGGGAACAAGTCAAAGGGTTTTGTGATGAAGTGATTATCTCAGATGATCATGGTCTCATTGGAGATTTAATTGCTAAGACAGAGCCAGCTGCAATTTTTGGAACTCAAATGGAGCGGCATATTGGTAAACGACTAAATATTCCTTGCGGAGTTATTTCTTCTCCTGTTCATATTCAAAATTTCCCATTAAGCTATCGCCCATTTCTTGGATATGAAGGTACAAATCAAATAGCTGATTTAGTTTATAACTCATTTACTTTAGGTATGGAAGACCACCTATTAGAAATATTTGGCGGACATGATACAACAGAAGCTCTAAGTATCGGTATTTCAGCTGGTGAAAGTCTTAATTGGTCAGATGAAGCCCAAAAAGAACTAAGTAAAATACCAGGTTTTGTGAGAGGCAAAGTAAAACGAAATACTGAAAAATTTGCTCGAGATTGTTCTAGAAACTTAATCACTTTAGAAGTTATGTATGAGGCAAAAGAAAAAATAAGTTCCTAACTGTATAAACTATATAAACACCCATGATTAATATAATATGGGTGTTTTCCATTTTAACAAGACATAAGCAATTATTTTATATAATTCTATGTATCTTGTCTATTTTTATTAATTATCTTACTGTATTCCATACAGCTTGTGAATCTATTGGTTTAATCAGGTATATTTTGATTAAGTTCAACATAAGGGACATGTATAAAGGTACTTTCATAAAAGTTGTTACAAACGGTAGAAAATTTTGCTTATCAATATCAATCAAAGCTCTGTTATTACAAGCACAACTATCTAAATACTTGAAAAATTGTGGATTGTCGACATCTAGCGCAACAGGGAAAACCCTGGCAGCGCTTTCGTTAGTTTTTCGGATTACTTGCATATCATATTGTCTAGAGTCTAGACCAATAGCATTATAAAAATCGACCCTCTGAAAGTCATTTAAGTACATTGTTGCAAATACACTAAGTAAGAAAAATCTGCACCACATTTTTGCTTTCCAGTCATTTAGAAAGTGTGGCTGAGATTTTAATAATGCTGCAAAAAAATCCCCATGACGATTTTCGTCTTGACACCAGTTCTCAAAAAACTTAAAAATAGGATAAATACGGTGTTCTGGATACTGTTCCATATGGCGGTATATAGTAATATACCGCCAGTAACCTATTTTTTCTGACAGATATGTAGCGTAAAAAATAAATTTTGGCGAAAAGAAAGTATATTTTCGACTCTTTGTTAAAAACCCTAAGTCTAATGATAAATTGAAATCCCCAATAGCCTTATTTAAAAATCCAGCGTGACGAGCTTCATCTCTTGACATCAATAAAAAGCATTCAGCAATAATGGGATTGCTATCTTTTAATTTGCGAGATAATTCTTTATATAGTAAAAATCCCGAAAATTCTGCTGTACAAGATCTTTCCAGGAATTCAATAAATAAAGATTTAGTTTTATTCTCTAAATTCGACCATGACTGATTAAATTCTTCGTCTCTAATGAAGTGTTGACTGTTATAGTCTGCTCTAAATTCTTCTAAAATAGCAAAAAAATCTTGCTCATTTTCAGAAATATTCATACTAGCCATTTCTTCAAAATCTGTAGTATAAAATCTAGGCGTTAATAAAGTTTCCTTGTTAGATACTTGTTCTTTCTGTATTGTTGTTTGCATAATTGAAGCAGTAAATTCCTTTTTTAGAATGCTAAGCAGATCAATGCTACACATATTATTTATCTGTATACTAATTCATACAATGATTCGTATTAAAAAATGTTATGTATATTTCTATTTAATTATTTTAATAGAAAGTAATGTTATTCGATATAGATTAAAAGACTAAATATATATTTATTATTTATTCTAAATCTAATCTTTTCTAAATGCATTAAAAATACGAATTAAGTATTACTCTGTTATAATTAGCTTATTATATAATGATATTCTTAATATTAAGAATATTATATTTTAAGTAAAAGAGATCTTATTTTTTTTTGGATATTATAGATGATGGATATTTTGAGTTTGGGTTGGGCGGCTTTGATGGCAATGTTTACTTTCTCTATCGCTATGGTAGTCTGGGGTAGAAACGGATTCTAAATACTGCTGTAATATTGTATATAAAATTTCAAAAATAATAAGGAAAACTAAAAATGGGCAAAGAGATTATAGAAAGTGCTATTTTAAGTTCTGTTTTAGTCTTAGTAGGACTAGCAGTAGGATTTTTGCTCTTAAAAGTACAAGGTGAGTAAATATTATTTACTCTAATAAGACAATCAAAATTTTGAAACTGATTGTCTTTGTATTATTTTATTAATTTCTTAAAAATGGAACAAGTTTTAAAATTTCTCTGGTATGCATCAACAATAATATTGATCTTTAGTATACTTATACACAATCCTAAATCTGAAGGCTTAGGTACTATAGGCTCTCAAAATCAGTTCTTTAGTAATACTCGTAGCACTGAAAATACTTTAAATCAAGTAACTTGGCTTTTTCTAGTTTTATTCTTATTATTGACTACCGTTATTGCAATTAATTAACTTTACTTTTGTTTAAACTTGATAAATAAATTTTTGGAAAAATAAATTTTAACTTCAATGAATTTATATAATAATCAATGCCCTGTGCCTCTTGAGCAACAACCAGTCAATGAATATAATTCTTTAAAAAATTCTTGGTTCTTCTGCTGGCCAACTTTGAGTAGTTATTCTTATAATAAGAAAATTACTATTACTCTTATTGTAAGTTGTTTCTTAGTAAGTCCTATTTTGCTTTCAATTTTTCCAATTGCTAAACTGCCTTTGAAATTTTTCTTTTCAGAATTCATAACTTCTAGTTTGATAACATGCTTTATTTTGATCAGACTGTATCTAGGATGGTCTTATGTTGTTAAGAGATTAATGAGCGCTACTGTGTTCTATGAAGAATCAGGGTGGTATGATGGCCAAATTTGGGTAAAACCGTCAGAAATATTAGTGAAAGATCGATTCATAGGCTTATATGAAGTTTTTCCTTTATTAAATAAAATTAAAAATACTTTATCTTGTTTAAGTCTAATGACCACTGCACCTGCTATTTTATTCTTTTATTTTTAAAATAGAACTTATATTTGCTTTTATATCTATGAATAGACTACTATTATTCTATATATTCGCGGGGTAGAGCAGTCTGGTAGCTCGTCGGGCTCATAACCCGAAGGTCAATGGTTCAAATCCATT